TTGAGACCAAGTCGGTAACACATCATTAGATTTACTAAGTTGACATTCCCACTGCTTAATGGATTCAGGATCTAAATTTGAGATAACAAAATACACAATAAACACATCTGAATTATCAATATTAATTTCCATATTACGCAAAGACTGTAAACAAGTTGTTGTAGTGTCTAATATGTCTTTTATAGCACTAGCCGACTCACAAAGAATTTGTTTTTGTGAATATAATACTCTTAACACTTCATTACAATTATAACGCTTGTTATTATAACGCTTTAATAATTGATTCCAAGCATCTTCGTAGTTAGCATCGGTAGTTGAAAACTTACGTAACAAAGATTCCGGTTCTCCCGACAAATTATTTTTTAAATATTGTAATTTTTGTACAGGTGATAACTTGTTATTTGTGTGAATAAGAGAATTAAACATATCATAAAACGTTTGCCACTCGACATATCTACCGCTAAATGTAGGTAACTGTATGCGCGGTAACTTAACTTCGCACTCGCTAACCGCGTGTCCACCACTTAATTTTGGTACCACGGATGATGTTTCACTTGTTGATGATATCAGAAACGGCTGCATGTTCTCCTTCAAAAGAGTTTTGTATGATACATACAACTCTTCAAACTCCTCGTACATACTTGTAGTGAAATACGCATCCTCCTTTTCGGTAGGGGTCACCTTGACAATTATAGTTTTGTGTCCTTCCTTGAAACTTATCCATAATTGCTCCAAATTCTCTAGTCTAGTCTCCAAATATGGTTTTTTAATACGGTCTTTAGGCGTTTTTTTAAAGTTTCTTTCCGCTTTCTTCAGGTTTTCTAGTAATTCTTTCTGATATACCATTAACGTTTTCATGTTGGAGGTAGGTACAAATGCGTATGCGTAAAAACGTTGAAACTTCGAAATCCAAGCAAAATAGATAAAACTTGAATGATTATTTTGCTATTGAATTGCTTAAAACACTCGATGTTAGCAAGATAATCCGCTCAGGAATGCTATTGTTCTTTCGATACAGCGATCGCCGGTACAACTCATAAAACCCGGTTCGAAAATGGACCATATGTTTGAGTGAATAAGGTCTTTATCTATTAGCTGGTGAATAAAACACTTGCAATACGTCTTCACAGATACGATAGTTTATTTGTACTAAAAGTAATACTTAACAGTGAATAGAACTTGTGGACTGTATGAATGTGTGAGTACAGTATGTTTGTGAGTGTGTAAGTGTTGCTATTTTATTTCAAAACAAAAGTATGATATTTAGACAATACTACTTATAAAACAGTGTACAAATAAAGAGTTTTCTATTTATCTATATGTCTTCAATTTCAAACTGATGTCTTCAATTTATTATTGTTTAGATTACTTTTATAGCAGTTGTTAATAATAATAAAAACTGCTAACAACAATTATAAAAACTTGAAATTACAAACTTTTGCAGTATTCAAGACTAACAAAAAAGCTAATTCTTATAAAACAAAATAATGACTGCAGTTACAGTACATATTATAAGTAACACCTTATAATGACAATTTTAATAAGGAATTATTTCAAAATGATTTTTTTTTCTTATTATAACAAAATGCGATTCCGCGTTTTATATTACAAATGTTAATCTAGATAGAATTAATAAATGACACGCGGCACTAATGTTATTAATACATCAAGATTACCATCAGCATTAAATAATTTTGGCACTTGCAGGGCACGTTTTAAAGTTTCAGGAAGTCATCTTCAGGATATATACTTTTTTATAAAACTAAATAATTTAAATTTTCAATCTCCAGAAGATAGATTAAATTATAGTTTTTTTACAAACTTAGCATATATATATATATATATATTTATTTATACATAGCTACACCAAATTGGTTCAAATCATATCCATATAAAATCCACTGAGTGATTATAATAAAAAGAAAACCGGCAAAGTGTCAGGATGGTAATTAAATACTGTAGACAACACTATGATACGATGACGGGCCTGTTGGTCTACTCTACACCTAAGTGGTCCTGACCAGACGTCGTGAGTTCGATTCTCACCCAAGACAAATAATTGTGTGATGAGCACGATCCAGTTGTTCTGTGGCTGTAATTTATCTATAATATGAACGTATTAACATGTAAATGTGTTTATCAGCAGTCTGGGTATTCTAGTACAAGCTCTGTGTAGTTTGGGATCAACGGCCGCGTGTGAGATCTGTACAGATATCGCTAACAATAATTTGGCAGTTCTAATGTATATAGGCAAAAGTATAACAGACAGCGGTGTCAAGAATGACGGAACTATGTTTGGCATCTGCTTTAAGAACGTTCAAGTGGCACATATAAACGTACTGTTACAATACATTTAGTGTAATAATTTTTGCATGTTTGTGCTTGCTAAAGCCACATTTTATATGAGCTAAGCAAATAGCTATTGAGGAATCGTAAAACCGCACGGCCAGTTATATGAATAATTCATGTAATAGTTATTCATAAATGGTATTTTACGAAAAATGCAATAAATTACAAAACGTTGGAGCCAATTATCAGGAATTACACATGTCGACAGATAGTAAAATTTGTTGTGTTTTGTTAAAACTTCATAATATATTATTATAAATACCAACACCTGTTATGTTAAGTTCCACTTACTGAAACTTACCTAATGTCTTATCGTAACATAAAATGGTATGTTTAATTCTTTTGATGTTACATTTTTATCTGATTTAGTGTAAGTATGTGTACTTTTAAGTGTATCGGTACTCTTAACATGCGTTTTCTCCTACAAAACCTAATTTTGCATGCCTTCGGCTGAATATTATTTAATTAGCAATGCATTAACTTTATGAATATAGAGTTCTCACCGCACTTATGAGTCTGAGGGGCCATAAGTGGCAATTTGAGCCCCGTTACGTGGGGTTACCTCGCACACACGGCAACGCTTAATACTGGAGAACAATTTGAAAAGAGCACAAAATAGAATCTACTCAGATACTATTCAACTACCTTGTTCAATCTTCGAGTTCCCCTAGACTGCACGACAGGTCTAGGCGCCTTTCGTTTATGTAATAGCTGAATTGCTTACCATCATTTTAGCAACTCCAGAATTTTTTAACCGACAATGGCTCTGTGTATTATTGTATACAGAGATGCCTTTGCCAATGTTGTTTTATCGGATTCGGTATCGATCGCTTCGATGAAAACGATTGCTAGTTCTAATTAACAAATTCTTTTTACTTTTTATTTTTACTGCACTTTATTTCCTTATTTTAGTTAAAAAAAAAAATTAAAATAAATGAATACTATATATAGTTTTGTATTGGGTCACAGAACTGGGTACAATCACGATTTTAACTTACCTGATGACTTATAAAGTATAGACCTATGTAATTAAGCCCTAGAACTTACCAGGTGTGACCACAGCATGCAATACAATGAAAGTATCTTATCATATCAACCAATACTTAGAGAACATCCTAAATAACTTCAAGTTAAAAGTTATCATATAAAATTTGAATAAGTCTGAAACAGACAAACACATCTATACTATCACGAATATTGTTTAATAAGGCACACATACGATAGATGGGTGGTGGGTGGAGTCTGGATATTATTTGAAGTAGGTAAACTAAGTATGGTCATGGTAAACCAATCTTTCAACTCTTTGCTTCAGAGCTTGTAAGCTCATTTGTGTAAAAGAGAGCCCTATAAAAAGTTTGATTGCTTTATTAACAGTTTCTAAATTGACCAGGATCAGAGGATGTCTCCCTACAAAGCTATAATGTATTGGGTGTATATATAATTGTAAATAAAATTATTATGTGATAATGTAAAGTAGTGAGCATGTTGCTTACGTAGCGTCCGAGATAAGTGTTGTGCTCACAGGGGTTATCACAATATTGTTTTGTTCTCGCCGAGTTCACCACAACAACATCATATTAGCACTTTATAATATATATTTTATATTTGTAAGTACTTACACGAAACCACAACATATTTATACATGCAGAAATTATCAAATATGTTATAAATATATTAACAATAAACCTATAGTACCCAACGGATGATTTCAGTAACAATAGTATTTTAATGCTTAATTTGTAAGGACATGTATAACAAGATTTGCTTAATGAAAAGAGAAGGGGTACATAGCAAATTTTACCTCATTGGGGGCTATCCATACATTACATCACACAAAATTCATATTTTGACCCCCACCCCCTCCTTGTCACAGCTGGTCACCCTTTTTTTTTTTTTTTTTTTTTAACGTGTGGAAATCCCCTCGGACCGTCACCCCTCCGGGGTTTGCGGCGGGGTGGTGTGTCGGACTCGGACCGACTAAAACCCGCCTGCCACCACTGCGACTGCAATGAGGACTCGGCCCAGCACACGCTGGCGGTCTGCCCCGCATGGGCGACGCAGCGCCGGGCCCTCACTGCAGTCATCGGAGTGGATCTCTCGCTACCGGCCGTAGTACGCTCCATGGCCGGTAGCGACAGTTGTTTTACCGCGGTCGCAACCTTCTGCGAGGTAGTAATCTCGCGGAAGGAGGCGGCGGAGAGGGACAGCTGGTCACCCTTGTCAAACCCCTCCTTTATTGTTTGACATCACTTTTTACAACTTTACATGTTGAAATTATTAAATTAAAACAGTGCCTAAATAATTTGAACATTAAATTTAATATTTACAAAAATCAACATTAAATAAAACATATTTTTTTTATTCAAAAGCAAAACAAAAACTATGATTTATATAACTGTTGATAATTCTAAATTCGCATTTTAATAGATATATTAGGTTTTGAAATGTGACATCACAAAACTTAGGACCCCTCCCAAGGGGTTCCCTTGTCACACCGCGTTAACTCTCTCCCCCTCCTTCGGTATGACGTAATTTCTGGATGGTCCTTAGATCAGTATATAAATTGTCAAGCACAAAAAAGTTTTAGATTTCATTCATTGCAGATATATTTTTTGATTATAGTAAGTTAAACATGTGTTTTAAGTACTTACATCTAGGTAGTTAGAGAGTGGTTCAGGGGCAGGCCCACTGGCATGGTACTTAATCCTCAGCACTTGAAGGTCGGTACCCACTTCTGTAAAGTGCTTACGGACTGTCTGCATACGGTACAATGGCACTCTGTGAAATAATTTTGACTTATGAGCACATAGTTCATTCCACCATCATCATATACATTCAGTACATACAAGACATGGGAATTACATTTATAATTTTAACAGCTTCAGTTTATTTATATGTACTACAGAAGCAAGTACAATGAGATAGATTATATTTTGTGTATGGAGAGACATTGCAATGCAATCATTTAATCTGCCCCTATATAATAAGCTCCAAGTATTTTTTACCAAATAGGTTTCTATCTTTTTAAAATCCTTACTCAAAGTTATCTTTGACCTCTTGCTCCCCAAGAAAAAAAAAGATGAATGTAATTGTAACAAAAAACAATCAACACACAAGTAGATATGTGAAAGGGTGTGATAACTGTTTATAGTACAGTAACAAAGAGTAACGCATTACGTTTCAACGACCAAAAGAAAATAAATATTGCTAGATAACAGTAATTGCGACTCGAAATATGTGACCTACAAGTATTTTATGTTCACAATTTGTGAATTTCTTACTAGTATATAAATATGAAAGGTTACCTGAGAAAACCAGCCACGCAAGTAGCGGTGAATGCTAGAAAAACTATCAGAAGTTTTCCCATTTTTGCGGCGAGTCACGCACGGACACTGCAACACAAAGAGCAACAAAAATATTACAAGTTGTTTAATAACTCCAAACCTTATTTATTGTTACATTACGTACCGCGACTAAAAAATCGTAGTATTTTCGAATTAAATAAAAAAAGAAAATCTTCAAGACGAGAACCTTTCAATTGTATTTATTCGTCCGCAGCGAAAAACTAATTAAATTAATTGCCGGTGCAATTTGACATCTCATTCGATGTGACCTCAAAATTTACTTTGACAAGTTTGACAACTGACCAAAGTTGCAAGGAAGAAAATATTGCCAATAGTTTGGAATTTGAGTACTAACGGGTAAAAAGAACCCCAACGTAGTCATAAACCAGCCTATAATTTACAATTTTGCCAACTAAGATTATGGACTACGATCAAATAAACTATAGATGCACGATTACAGCTCGAAAAACGGCCGTGTTGGTAGTGGGACGTTCAATAGTTCCAAACTGTACAGTAAGAAATGCAAAAACTACACTTTAGGTGCAAAAAAAGGATGGTATCGTATTTTCGGTAAAAATTATTTAATGTTTGAGTTTGATTCTAATATTTTCAACTACGTGTACCACGCAGTCTCCTCACTCTCGCGTACAATGTCCTATACAGATCTCGCTCACACCACTCCGTCACAACAAGACTTACACTAAAAGACATGGAGTCATTGCTGTTCTAAAATATTAATATTATTTTTTAATAAAAAAAGTAATATTTTATTCGTAAGAAATTAAAAAATTGTCTTGTATAGGTATTGGTGATATGGGATTATGGCAAAAAAGTGATTACGATCCCATTGCCCAACAAGTATATGTACTACGGCGTGTGTGGCGGACTTGTCATCACAGGGTTAAAAGTTAAAATAAAGATGAAAATAATTAACAATTATTACATCTTTCTACGTGAACATTTATTGTATGAACTTGTTTATTTCCTGGATAGCATTTTAAAAACATACATGTATATGCAGTAGAAACTTATCTGCTTTGAGAACATTGAAGCTTCCACCAAATGTTGAAAACAAGATCCCAAGCCTGTATACTAGTAACTGCGCCTGTTCGGGCTAAAGCAAACGAACACCTTTCCTGATTAGGTGATTCCTACATGATTGCAAATCACTTGGATTTTCCAATCACATCCGTGCCCACTGCCCACAGCGAAGTTCGCTATTGACAGACACATCGCAGTCTTTACATATTTTTTTAATTGCTCGGCAATTAGGCGAGCCTAACGTGTCCTCTGTACTTGATATAGCAAGAGAGATTGACATACCTAGCGATAATACCTAGATTAGTTTTTTTTTATTATTTTACTTAATTGAAGTTTTTATTTTTGTTTCTTCTCCTGTTTTTATATATTATTTTTATTAGTTATATATATATATTAGCTGTTTGCATAAGGAGTAACTTAGGGGATTTTTTTCTCTCAGAATAACCCGAAAATTTTTTTCAAATTCCACGAGTACGAAGTCGCTGTCACCAGCTAGTATAAGTATATGCTTGAATGTGTGATTTCAGGGGGATTCAGATCGACGCCGCTCCTAACTAGGCCCTTTTACCATAGAGTAAAAGGGCCGGGTCGCAACAGTTAGGTATAGCCCTAACTGTTGCGACCCGATCACATTTTTGGTGCGTTCAGGCCGTCATCCCATTCCCTACAGCAATTAATCCGCCACCAGAGGCCCATCTTCTTCGCTCGGGATCGGCCCTCTCCCGATCCCGTTCAGGGGTCTCTTTCTGTGAAGCTGTAATGCTCCAATGCACACAATGCACATGGCAGTATGATTACTGGCGGGGACAAGTCTCATCCGATTTGGTCGACCAAGACCTTGCGTTCAGACGTCCACGCGTGTGTCCATTGTCCGCCCAGCAGGGCGGAGTCCCAATCGGCTCCCCGGAGCTGACATTGTGACGTCTCCTCGCATCCAATCCGATTAAGGTACTCACCGAAGCAGCCTTGCCCAGTGAGTACCTGCGTCAGTCGGTAGGTTACGCGACCTCCCTACCTACCCAAGCTTCGAGGTTAGGCAGAACAGCACCGACAGCGCGTTGACGCACGTTCCAACATACGGGAGAGAGTTACTGACATTGACTATGTCAAGACTGACGCCACTCCCCCGCGCGCGCGTTCAATCGCGTCGAGCGTCCTTGTCGGAAGCCAAATTGATTGTCTGATAGGTCGGGGCCTAATCGCGACAGGTGCTGGTTGATACGGGTGGCGATAACGCTTTCAAAGTTTCGCCGTCTCTGCAGCCCTGCCAGGTATCTGGATAAGTACCAGCCTGGTAAACAGCCGCCTTAGCTTACTTTCTAGGACCACCGAAGCACACACTCATGCTAGGCCCAGGATTCTATCACACTCGCTCATTCACAGCTTGGTCCAGCTCTTCCTCAGTCACGTCAAAATCGTCGGACTACATAACCAGTCCTGACGGTGACGGAGGACATGAGGGACTACCCTTTTTTTTTCGTGCGGAAATCCCCTCGGATACCACCTGTCGGTGGCATGTCGGACTCGAACCGACTAAAACCGCACGCCGTCTCGGGTACTACTACGACTACCCTGGTTCCTGGTGAAGAGGGTGTCTACCACTCTTCCCACAAACTCCGCGTCTAGGGTTTGCGTCAGTGATGAGACCCAAGGTCTGAGCTTGCCCAACCCGGTAGTACCTAGTTAAAAACTTGCCTCGTATTTTTGGACTTTTTCGTTTTCTATTCATGACTAACTATTGCTAACTGAACTTAGATTTGTGCTTCTGATACTGTTAGAGACGATGACCTATACGAATACTAACTTAGTCATCAACACTGAAGGCTAGTTTATTGTTAGCTTACCAACCAGCAATCATTTCTTCAACAAGCAAAACTTCAGAAGTAATGATTGCTAGTTACAGAAAATCCCGGTAGATGGTGTTTTAATGCGTTAGCTTAAGTAATAATTGTGGAGCAAAATGAAAGATTTTTTTATTAGTAATGTCATTGTGAATTTTAAGTTAAAAAAATATTAACCCCACATAATTCTTGAACTAAAGAAAATTATCAGTTAAAACGCGAGATTTAAGTTAAAAAAACAGTTTTTAATTAGGGTTCCATAGCCAAATGGCAAAAAACGGAACCCTTATGGATTCGTCATGCCTGTCTGTCTGTCCGTCCGTATGTCACAGCCACTTTTTACCGAAACTATAAGAACTATACTGTTGAAACTTGGTGAGTCGATGTATTCTGTGAACCGCATTAGGATTTTCACATAAAAATAGAAAAAAAAAATTTTGGGGGTTCCCCATACTTAGAACTGAAACTCAAATTTTTTTTCATCAAACCCATACGTATGGGGTATCTATGGATAGGTCTTCAAAAATGGTATTGAGGTTTCTAATTTCATTTTTTTCTAAACTGAATAGTTTGCGCGAGAGACACTTCCAAAGTGGTAAAATGTGTGTATGTCCTGTAACTTCTAAAATAAGAGAATGATAAAACTAAAAAAAAATATGATGCACATTACCATGCAAACTTCCACCGAAAATTGGTTTGAACGAGATCTAGTAAATAGTTTTTTTTAATACGTCATAAATCAATAACTTAATTTAAAACAATATACTATTATTAAAACATCGATCAAAGTTACAACGAACTACAAGAACTTTTATATTTATTTCGATTTTGCCCTTCATGGGCGAGTCCGAGTCGCACTTGGCCGCTTTTATTTTTCATATTGTTCCACATCAACACAACACTGCAGAGAGAAGGAAAACTTGACACAAACCCTATACCAAACCGTCTGGCCAGCGTGGTATAGTAGGCCAAAACCTCCTTTCTAAGGAGGCTTATGTCCAGCAGTGGACTATTAAAGGCTGTTGATGTTCCACATCAAAAAATTCAAAAAAGAACTTGAGTAGAGGAATATAAAAGACATTTTCTGACGAATTTTGGTAAGCGACATATTTATATTATTCGACACCAAATCGATCCCCTAGAGTGCGAGTAAAAAAGCCTCGGTGGCAGATTTCCCATATTAATCCGGCTATACCTTATGAAATTTTGGATTATAGACAAGCTAAGGGGCTTTCACAAATATGCAAAATTTCGTATGTTCGCGTAATATTACACATGGCTGCTGCGTCGCCAGTTCCATTTATTATCAATGGGTTCTATAGGTACATTTATTTCTTTTTTAGATGTTCATCATCTAAAGGGAACCATGTGACCCTAATATTAAGGGAGATTGACATTATGTACCAAATATCACAAGTGAAATGAGACGAGTTTGGATTTTTCGTACATTGGACTAGACAAAACACGGGGAAGTCCCCGACAAAATAGTACTAACTAGGCGCAGCAACGCACATAGCGACCCCTGGTCCGCGTTGAGCGCTCGAGAGTGATGTACAAACCTAGTGCGTTGAATTAATAGCAGGTGCCATACCAACCTGATATACCCGTTACCCCAGCAAAATAATGTCGAAGAAGTATTTAAATGTTATAGATAATTAGTTGCCAGCGTCTGGAATTGTTGCGCACATTTTTAAATTTATTATTATTATTGTTTTCTAGTTTTTCCACAAAATCATTTTCTGCTGGGGTAACGTTACTACAGCCAGACATTTTCTTTTTGAATTGGAATATTGAAATAAATAATAGCTAAATATTTAATTGTATAGATGAGTTGTGTTCTAACTTATTTTGTATTCGTTTTTTCTTCGGATGTAAGTTAGTCTTTCTTAGACTAAGCCAGAGAGTACACAATACAAGCATTCGTGTTGTTACAGTACACATCTCAGAGGGATTTTGTATTTTCTTAAATACCATACATACATACCACGTTTTAGTCTGGAGTAGGCAGGAAATATAGAATATTCGCCAGGATACAGAGGCCTTAAACAACACAACATAAAGAAAGCACAGAAAATAAATATCAACTGATTTTCATATTTTTTTAAATTGAATCCTTTTTTTTAAACAAGATATTTTCAATTTCACCAGCGAGAACACATGTTATTTAATATACATGAAAATTCAATACAGAAAAAAATTACGACAATTACTTATATGGGGTAATAATAACATTTCGGACAGACACACAACGCCATCTAGTTTCAAACTCAGCAGAGCTTGTACTATGAAAGCTAGATTGACTGGTAGAATACTTCTATACATTTTTTTTTTGTAAATACATACTCGACTGCACGTATAGCTTAGTGGTTTAAGCGGTCGCCACGCCGCTTCCTGCTACGCCGAGTGTTGTGGGTTTAAACCAAACATGGGACGCTACTTTGTGTGATCCACAAATTGTTGTTCTGAGTCTGGGTGTTTTTTGTGTCCGTTTCATGTATGTTTTAAAGTCCCCGCGACACAGGATATATTCCTAATGCTAGAGTTGTCTTTGAAAAAAAAAAAGAAGAAATATATATGAGTCAACGGTTATAACTAATTCCTTATCCAAAGTATATTTACAGCCAGTAAATTCATTACAATGAAAGCTGAACGAACACATTTTTAATCCCAAAAGAAACTGTCGGTGAAACAATAAATTTTGAAAACTGATTTATGTATTTTTGAGACCAAAATAATATGCAAGTCTTTCAGACATCAGTGTTACATCAAATATCCCTAAATAGTGGATAAACACAATAACTAATGATACCCTCGGAGTGCACTCTACGCGGCTTCTGCGTAACACGTGTCAACTTTGTGGTTGAGCGCAAGTGCCGGTGCTCGACCCACTACGGCCCATGTCAAGATCGGTATGTTTACACCTAACAGTAATACATTGATGTGATTGGACCGAAATAGTTTGGCATGAACTAATATAACATAGCCTCTATGATTACGCTATTTACATATTTATATGCTACAGTGGGCACCACTACACAGCGAGATAACACTTATTATCACCAAGAAAATCTTTAGTGTATTGATATTTACAAAGTTTGTAAAACTATGGTTGGGTATGTCGCTAAGAGTGGATATAACTAAACATTAACTACATAATACTGTCTGTTTACAGCACCGCTAAGTGAGTCCACGTGGCGCTCGGGCCGTCTCCACAATCATTAGTCTCAATCACACACTTTTCTACAACACGTACATTTTAACACGTCTATAACTAGGTAAACATTTACAATGATCGTTTAGGCAGGACGCTTAGATTTGGTGAACCATGAGATCAGTATCGTGCCGAGGGATGGAGGGATGGAGCCCGAGCAGTGCACTCCGACCGACGAGCTGCGTCTTACAATAGTACCCTGCGCCCCATTATATGTACCGCGTTACTGGGCCACTTCGGTTATACATATATTATAGTAAATACGTTTAACACATTTATACACTTCTTAAGATATCATTGCAGTTTAAATCTGTAACTTAGTATTTTATACTTGATTTTGCATCATATAAATTATATTTATAAACTTTCATTAAAGTCAATGAACGTTTAAGATACCGCCGCGGGGCTAAGGCGCCCCGTGCGACGTCACTGACACACAGCATACGTACAACGCTATATACACGCGAGCGCATCGTGACATGCACCTATTGTACTTCAATTGATTTTATTTATTATCATTAGCTTAAGAACTATATTTACACAATCCTATATATTATATCTATCGACAGCGCTATATTACCATGATGCTTCGATCCAGAACGGATAAAGTAAATCGTATAGTTCCTTATCGAATCGCATCGAGTCAAAGGTGAAACGATCCGGTATAAAGTTTAAGAGGGGCCGGCGTCGGGCGGAGGCGAGGGCGGCGGCGGAGGCGGCGACTCCATCGCCCTCAGGCGGCGTCACCGCAGCAGCCGCTCGTCGTCCAGCGCCGCCAGGCGGAAGCGCCGCGGGTCGCTCGACAGCAGGCGCAGCGAGAACGCGCCCAGCGACAGCGGCGGGCCTTGCTCTATCTCCACGTTGCCAGCGTTCGCCTGCGGACACAGAGCTCACGGTCACTCGGCGGGCTCCGCGGCGGGTCGGGGCGGCGGCGGAGGCACTCACCAGGAAGAGCGTGGCGAGCACGAGCCGGGACACGTCCGCCTCCTGCTGCGCGTGCTCCCGCAGCAGGTCGAGGGCGGGCCGCGGGCGGCGACGCGCTTCTCGTAGCGCGTCCAGCACGCGCGCGCCCAGCTCGTGCACGTCGAACGTGCCGCGCGCCTCGGCGGCGGCGGCGCGGCTCAGGATGCTGGCCTTCCACGCCGCGATCTCGGCCTGCGCCCGGCGCCGCGCGGCCTGCGCGGGGTCCAGCTCGGCGCCCCGCTCGGAGCTGCCGCCGGAGCTCTGCTCGAAGAAGCCGTCGTCGTCGTCGCTGTCGGCCGCGCGGACGGCGGTGGCGTCGAGCGTGGCCTGGGCCTGCGCGACCTCGGGCCCGCTCCAGCCGACGAAGCCTGCGGCGAGACAGACGGTGAGAGCCGCTCTGCGAGGCGGCGAGTGCGGCGGGGCCGGTCGCGTCTCACCTTTGTCAGGCGGCCGCGCGTCGTCGAGCTCACCCAGGTCGTCCAGCTCGCCGATCAGTCGTTTCCTCTCGTTCAGAATGTGAACTTTCCGCCTGCGGACGACGTCCGAGATCCATCGTTCGTCGATGCTGAACTCTCGAACCTCCTTTAATTTTTTCATTAAATCTGTGAAACGACCCAAACGTTAGTGTTTATAGTGAGAGTAATTCTTTAAACGTCTATAAACCGATTCCGCTGAGCGACGAGAAATTAATTATTCCTCACGTCCGTCGTGTACTTTTAGACCGATTCTGAGACGTCTCAACACAAAAAGGTGTTACGACAGCTATGACGGCTCACCTTCACCGAACACTATATTGACGTTTCCGTTAAAGATTTCATCAACTTTGACGTTGCTGCGTCTCTTGCGTTCCCTCCTGACGACGACCGGCTCTGGGATGGGTCGCTGCGCGGACTCCGAGATTGGCTCCGGTGCGTCTGTGGGCAGCGGTGTGCTGGCGGCCAGCGGCTCGCGCGGCGACGACAGCTCGCGGGGCGACGACGCCTCGGGCGGAGGGGACTCCTCGCGAGAGGGCGAGTCCTCACGCAACGGCGGCGGGGACGGGGGCGCCGCCGCCTCGATGGCGGCCTGCAGCTCTAGCAGAGAGATGGGCCGCAGCGCGCCGCCGCCTCGGGTCGACCCGCCCTCCAACTCGTCCACCAGCATTCCCTCCTGCGATCCCGTAAATAAACGACCGTTAGCCGAGACCCCGAGACCGAGCGACGTACGCGGCGGTGTCTAAATACTGACGTGCAGACGCCAGGCGACTTGAAAATCGGAGAGCAGGCCGATGCTCTCGGCGGCGTAGTCGAAGAGCGGCACGTCGCCTCGTGCCGCCACGCGCGGCTCCAGCTCCAGGTACATGCGCGGCAGCGTGGGCGTGGCGGCCCGCGGCGCCTCCGACTCGCGCGTGGCGCCCGCGCTGGCCTCCAGCACGATCTCGCCCGAACTCCGTGGCGCTGGAAGCCTTGCGCTTGCGCCTGCTCGACGTGGGAGTTTGGGGTTCCTCTGGTACGACGCTGTCGTTGGCTGATTCTCTGCGCAAGAAGAGTGCTACTTTAGTCGATGCTAATTACTCTTATTTAAAATAGTATTTCAAAAACGACAATATTACTTTGGCGAGTGTTGCAATAAACAGTTGTAACTCGTTTATATATATAGTTAATGTCAAAGCTAAACATCGATAGTAATATTATGATCGACGATGACGTACTGTGTGCCGTTGAGTAGCGAGTCGCTGACGCTGAGCACGTGTCTATAGAGGAAGTCCACTTTGATCCCATAGATGGTGGCCGACTGCTGCAACAGCAGCGCTATCTCTGTAAAGTTGGGGGCCACTAATTCCGCCGAGTCGTCGGCCTCGTCCGCTTCCAGCGCGTGAAGCCCCGCCTCCGTCAGGTACTCCTCCAATAACTAACAGATAAACGATCACTTATATAATAACAATTATTCTGAGTATATAAATTGATTGGCAATTGTGTGAAATTATGTGATTTTTTCATCACTCATCACTCACACACATTTATATGCCCAGTTTACTTGTTTTCAATTCTAGAAATAAAATTTTAAGGCACTTCTACTTTTCTCCATAATATTAAACTGAAAATGACCTCCACAGTGAGGGTGGGGTGGGGTGACTAATTGATTTTACTTACGTAGTTACTAGTGTACTGATCCTACCTACGTGTTACTAGTAATTATCTCTGTGTTAACATGTGAGGAGCTGGTATCTGAGATAGACATGTATATGCTTGTAATACAGATCACCAGGTCTCTATGAATACAAATAACATTACAATAAAATTCCAAAAAAAAGTTCATGTTAAACATTACGATTACCAAACATGAGTACTAATAACTTATAATACAGTTATAATAATATGAAGTAAGATGAAAACAAATAAACATAAAACATACTCGTAACTTGATAAATACCTTAGTCTCCTTAGCAACCACACCAGGGTCTCAATTCTGCTATTTTATGTTCACGCCAAGCCACTGTCATACCACTGACACGCTATTGAGATGCCATCGAGTGGCCATTGGCATCGGTATAAATATCGGTAGTCTACACTAACTCAGTGTCCTTACAGTGGCAATGGAATGGCAGTGGCTCATTAGTGGTGATATCAAAAAGATTGTCATATTTGGAAAAATTTATAAATCATTTCCTCAAAAAAACGTAATATATTTTAAAATTATAAGGAAATTATTTTTTATCTGATTTTATCAAAGGGTATATTAGAGACTGTTTAATTTATTGTACAAATGTGCACTTTGATAACAGAATAAGCGTTGAGCAAAACTTGTTTAACACATTTGTTTCGTACAAGCCTTGTCTTTGCGGTGCAAGTGACAAGATGTTGTCGGTTCATATTTGGTAATGGAATGTTGCTTTAGGGCAGTGTGCAATATGAAGAGTTGTCTAACACTCAATACTTCCTATTTTCTTGTACAATTCACTTGTTGGATCGTAAAAAATATTTTATTTTAAGAATGGCCCTCTGTGCTCTTTCTATTCTCAAAAAGTGTGTTCCTCCCCAAACGGCAACATGTTCACAGACATTAAAAAAGCGCCATGAGCTTACGCATTCCAGCTGTTACAGGATCTATATGAAATTAATTTGTTGTCAATAATTACACCCAAATAATGATTGATACGGTACTTTATAAGATGGATCATGAACTGCAACCAGCACTAAGATGGCAGCATGAATGGGATGTTACTTTAAGTGAGGGGTCCTGTTTGTCTGCATTTGTCAGTAGTCAGTGTTTATTTTGATATTTAAGGTTAAGATGTTCTGCTGCAACCATGAGGTACAGTATTGAAGCCTGTTTGGGCGTTATTAAACGCATCTTGCCACAAATCCCCAATAAATAATAAAACATCAGCATATGGTAGTATGCGGAAGCTCAAGTCCACACAAGTTGTTTATGTACACAAGGAATAAGGAGAGCCCAAGGACGATTCCTTGAGAAACACTGAAATAAAACAGTTTCCTCATCACTAGTAACATCGCCAACCTGTACAAACAACTTAAGCCGTATTCTAAGTTTATTTAGTAAAATATAACCTTTACAATAACAGATTTTTAATGCCAGTTACAGTAAAAGGCTTATTCGTGTTGTGTATTTTTTGTTAGGAATTGCTATTCACAGATGAAAAAGTTTGAAAACAAGAATAGTTAATAAATGTGCATGGAAAGAGGTCACACCTAAAGAGAGCATTGTTTTAGCACTACAGTTGGCCTCACTTTCCACGCGTTGTTTGCATAGACACTTTACACAGTGTACACACAGATAGATATGACAAAACGTATGGCTGCTTTTACGTACACTGGAAGCGGATGTCATGAATACCTGATTTGATATGAACAGATATGTACATACTAGCGGATATCATGAATACCTGATTTGATATGAGCAGATATGGACATACTGAGTCTAATTCTATAATGGGAACTTGATTTAGTTTCTTATCTATTCAACCTTTTAATAAACTATTGTACACTAATGTAACAACATGTACAGAGGCATCCATCTCATTCAATTTTTGTCATCAATCATGTCATTGTGTTCTCAGGTAAATATTTCTTGTATCTGATTATAACTCAGATCAACAGTCAGACACAGCCATCAATGTTTTGAATTGTACTTTAACATAAAACAAGCTGGTTAATTAAATTACTAAGTTTAGTACAAGTACTTGTCTAACAACATACGAGAAGTTTGAGAGGAATAAATAAGTATTGAGGGACATCTTATTACATTTTGATACTTTAGATCCATTTGCGTTATTGATAAGCCAAACACAAACAAAACCAGGGATCTCCTCTTCACGGCGCAGGCGCGGGAAGTCTTTGTAAGCTTGCATATTTAGGCTTCCAATAAGATTTTAAAGGTGAAGTAATCATATCAGATTTGTCAGAAATGTGTGCGAGACAGCTGAATTTAGTTAAAATTTAATAAAATATTGGCGGCCGGCATGCCTCAGTGACTTACCGCGCTTAGGTCTGTATCGAAGCTCCGGCGGCCGTCGGTGCTGATAGGTTTCATCAGCTGCGCCACGATTTCCTCGAGCCTTTGAGAGTTCATGCTCCACCTTTTCTCGCGTTGGGATAAAAACTGATCCCTGTAAATAGGGTCCTGGTATTGGTAACATAACTTAAAACACGCGAGGAAACACAAGCCAGTGTGGAGCTGTTGCTTCACCAGTGGCGCGAAACTTTCTGTCATCGACGTCTTTTCAATTTTAGCAACGAAATTAGAAAATCTCAGTTTGAAACAAATGATAACAATGTTTTGGTTACCTTTGGCTCTCTAACCAGGTGGCGTCCATTTTATAAACATAAAATCTTGCAACTAGGAAGAACGTAACAACAACGGTGGCCATTTATTTACGTTTTCAAGGGAGACTTTCCGTCTTACTGTCAAAGGTTGAACGTTCGCTGTTCGCTGCCTCGGAACTCCACTTATTAATTTGCACTATGGGTTACTAAACTAATTGAGTTTGGTAAATGCATATTAATGTAATATATGATAAATAGAGCTATATCATTTTTTTAAGAATGAAATAAAACCATTATAAATAAACGGACTTTACAAGATATTTATTTTTTGGTAAATGTTCATCACAACATTGTATATTTTGACGATGGCAAGATATGATTTAAATTGATGATGGCAACATTGATGTTGTAAGTCAAAAAGGCATTGAACTGTGTATATGTAGAATACAATAGATTTTGAGGGATTCTGTCGCGTCGTTCGTTTGGTTAGCACGTGCGTCTAGAATTTTTTGAAACCTTTGGTGATTTTGTGACTATTGGGTCTTTTTTTTTGTTATTTTGTGCTGTCCTTGGTTACGGTGTGTTGTTTATAACTAAACATTATTACCGGTAAGTGAAAATGAACGGAAATAAACCGCCCGACCCTCCCGATATTCCATGTCCAGTAACCCCTCCTTTCACCCCTATTCCTCCCTTACCCGAGCAACCTTCAACCCCTTCCAACCCCTTAGAACAGTTTGCCAATGTGGTCTGCAACGCTACGGTGGAAGAAACTAGGCCCCTCGTTTCTACCTCACGGAAACGAAATGGGAACGATGAGGTAAGTGCCCCCCCTCTTAAACGTCTCCAAACTCAAACAAAAACCTTTGTTAGTCGTGACAAATACACAAACAATGACAGTGGTCCCTACATGGTACATGTTTCTCGCGTGGAGAGCCAGTTAGGCTCTGGTACAACTCTCCATCCTGTTTCGTTTGGACTTTTTCTTTTTAAAAACAATATAAGTAATATTGTCAGAGATGGTATTTAAAAAAGTGGGAAGGAATAGAGTATCCGTACAGTTTTCATCCCCTCAGGATGCTAATGCATTCCTAATTAACCCCCTCTTAAATGTTTATAAATTTACTGCCAGCATTCCTACTTATAACATTACTAGAATGGGTGTTGTTTCTGGTATCCCTACCGACATGAATGATGATGAAGTAATTAAATTTGTGACAGTGCCGCAGGGCTGTGGGCAGATTATTAAAGTCAGGCGTCTTAAACCGAAAATCATTTAATGAAGGTATCTTGGAGTGGAAGCCAACAGAATCCTGTGTCCTCACTTTTGATGGCCAGGTTCTACCTAAACGAGTTTTCTGCTGCTATAATTCTCTTCTTGTACAGCAATATATTTACCCCACCGTCCAATGTAGGAAATGCTGCAGGTTTGGTCATGTGGAGTCTATCTGCAGATCTAGGCCTAGATGCAACAAGTGCGGACATGAGCATCCCAGTAACGAATGTGAGGTAACAGAAACGGGGGGCCTTTTGTGTCCTATGCTCTGGTGGTCACTTTGCCAACAGCAAGGCTTGCCCGGAGTATGGCAGGCAGAGGGCCATTAAGATCATGATGGCGGAAAAAAAACATTTCCTATATGGAAGCAAATAAAGTGGTCCCTTCTACTACTCGCAGCTATGCTGATACCCTAAAGACCCCACAATTTACCCAATCCTCTCAGCCCACCCAACCCATCCAGTCTTCCCAGACCCTTCGGTCTACCCAACCCCTTCAACAAACCCAGTCCTACCGAAAAACTGTTCTTCGGCAGCCTAAACCTCGCCCTACACTATCCAAATCCTATGATATAACTACACACCAATCTATCATTCACTCTCCCCAACCTTCTCAACCTAATGGTTGTGCTCTTAACTCATCACTCGAGACTTCTACTATTGACCTTATAATACAGCTTTTGACTTCTCTATTAACCTCCAATTTACCCTCTATCTCAATCCCCTTCTAGTATACCGTCCAACGTTGCTAACACACTCATCAAACTTATTAACCAACTTTAAAAATGGCATCCCAACAAGTATTCCTACAGTGGAATGTGAGGAGTGTGTTTCATAAGAAGCACGACCTCATATTCTTGTTGAATAAATACAAGCCTTTGGCTGTCTCTCTTGCTGAGACTTGGCTTTCTACCGGGTCTCAACTTCCATGTTCCACATTTCAACATGCTTAGATGCGACAGGTCTGATGGTTACGGAGGTGCAGCCCTCCTTATAAATAACAGAGTCCCTCATATTACCCCTCCCCTTACCCCCATTCCCAGATGATTATCAGCATTGTAGCAGCGAAAATCAGTAGTGATATCTGTGCTTTCCATCTACATTGCTCACCCCCAGCAGAGTATTCCTCCCTCTATATTGAGAGACTTGCATACAGAGCCATACGGAGCCCCCCTATTATTTTAGGGAATTTCAACTCCCAAATCACTTTAGGTTGGGGATCTGGGCCGGGTGACAGTTTTGGCAGGGGGGGGTTTGTTGGAGATTTGAGTTTTGAACCTCTTTTGTTCCAAAAACCTGTTTCCATTTGTAGGTCCCCCCTGGTCAGAAAAAAAGCTGTTTTGATTTTGACCTTTGCTCCCGGGAAGTTGCTGCCCCCTTCTTTTGCTGGGGGTGCACGGTTTTTGGTTCATGGTAGCGATAAATTTACCATAATTATTTTACCCCCCTAGCTCAACTCCCTGGAAAAATCATGCCCTCCCCTTTAAAATAAAACCTTCGGAACTGACGGGCCCAAAAATTCTCCAAATCCTTAAATCCAATGTTCAAAAATACCCTCCCTGGGTTTTGACTACAGCCCTTTTCCCCTACGATGATCGCGGCCCAGGGTGAGGACTTTTGTGATGCCTTTGGGGGAATTGCAATTGGGTAAAGGGCGGACGCTGTTTTAAAAAAATTAAAAGAATTCCTGTGGGGGACAAAATTCCCCCCACCCCCTTGGGGGGACAGTAGTGTACAATGCCATTGGGCCCAAAGGGAAAAGAGCCCGAAAGGAAAATACAATGCTCCCCATGCCCAACTCAAAATTTACTAAATTATAAAAAATTGTTTTTGCCCTTTTACCCAAGCACTCCTTCGACGCCAAAAAACGCCATTGGTTGGATTAGCTTCTGCCCCCCTCTTTGTCCCCATCTAAATCCATCTTCTATTGTTTTGGAAGAACATAAATCGGTTCCGGTCTGGAAGGGTCTCCCTCAGTGTCCCCCCCCCTTTTCTCCACAGACAAAGCTGAACTCCTCCTAGACAAAAATTGGCCCCCCCCCTTTTGTCCCCCCATCTAGATGAAATCCCCCAACCAATTGGGTTTCCCCCTCAGTCGCTGGGTACTCACGATTTAGCCCTTTTCCCTTGGAGGAACTGAACATTTTTCTTCACAAAAGTGCGAGACTCTTTTCTCCTGGTTAAAGGATGGTATTCCCCATACTCCTTTTTTAGCCAATGCTAGCCCCTAGTTTTAAAATTAAATTCCTAAACTTTTTAAATTTTTTTCTATATCAATGGTTGGGTCCCCCGAAATAAAAGTGGAAGGTTCAAATAATTATTCCTATTTTGAAACCTAACAAACATGCAGGAAAATTTTTTTTTTTTTTGGGGTTTTTTTTTTTTGGGTTTTTTTTTTTTCCTTTTTTTTTTTTGAAACCCAAAAAACCGTTTTGGTTTAAACAAAGGGGTTCTACCCCAAAATTTTCATTTTCCCTTTTTTAAAAGGGCTTTAGGGGGGGGAAGTGGGGAAAAAGGGGGGTTTCAAAAAAAGGGGGGGGAAAACGGGACCTATGGACAGTGTTGCGGTGTTTGGGAAAACCGATATCCGCCCTTCTCCCGTCGCAGGGTGCGTCCCACCAGTAACATCTTTTCTCGACATAACCCGCGGCAAAAATGACAATGTCCTATCTTAAACCCATTTTCAGGCCAAAAAATGCACCAGCTGAAAACTTCCGGTCAGAAGATCCATTTCCCTATGTGCAATGCTTGTGTCTCGAACTCTAGTCCCAAGGAAATTTTTTGGGAAGGATTCGACCAGAGAAAACGTGGAGGGGCTTGCCCCAGGGCTCTGTACTGAGTCCTTCCCATTGTACAACCTGTACCTGCACATATTGGGGTTTTTCCCCCCCATGTTTTAAAAAAATGATTGCAGTATTTCTACAATACGCCCCCACGTCGGCTTTTAAAGTAACCAGCCATTCCATTTCCCCAAAATGCAGCAACATCGCCCCACAAACCCCCCTTAATTCTCCGGGGGCGGGGGCCCATCATCCCACGGCCTTAAAACCCCTCTGCACAGAAGACGCAGTCGTTGTTTTTTACCGGAAAGAAGACTCCCGCCCCCGATTGATGTCAAAGTACAGCCCCGCAGGGAAAAATTCCTCTCGTTAATAAATTTAAATTCCTCGGGGTATATTTAGATTCTAAGTTGACTGGCTGTTCACCACATTAACCATCTAGCCCTCAAAATGTGAAAGAACTATTCCAATTTTAAAGGCCCTGGCCGGAGTTTGGTGGGGAGCCCCATCCACTACACCATGAAGCTAGTGTACAATGCCTTAGTGCGCTTACGGCATATTGGACATACGGTTGTTTTCCTACTGGTTCCATGCAATAAAGGCGCTATTAACAACTCTGGATAGGATCCAATCTAGGTGTCTTAGAATTATTACTGGTTGCATGAAGTCATCCCCCATTAACGCATTACAGGCGTGAATGCCTCAGATCCACCTCTAAAATTAAGAAGACAATATTTTGCTTCATGCTTTGTTTTGAAATTTATTTGTAAATTGACCCACCCCTCTTCTTCCAAAAATTACTGACTTAGACATAACTTGCAATACCTCTAAGTACCTGCGGCATCTATAAAGAAATTCCATTGATTCTCTGCAATCCTTTCGCCTACTACTTTTCCCTTTACGAATTTAACGGTAAATTTGACAAACTTCCTCTTTTTTCATTTGAATACAGCTTATACTAGTTTTAAGTCCGAATGTGTTTCTTGGATGTGGAATTCCTAAGGGATCTGCCTCGGCTGTTTCCACCTTTAACGTTACGTGGATGACCACTTGGTAGGGTTTGAGAGGTTTTTTACAGACGCATCCAAACTGTCAATGCGATAGTTACACTGGAGCTGCGGTGGTACTACCACTAAACTCCAAAATCATTTTGCAGTTTAAGTGCCCAGAAGAGTCTTACTGTATTTACGGGCGAGTGTGTCGCGCGTGTATTGGAGGCATGCCTATATGTTGAATCGCACATACATCCTATAAGGCTGCTATATTTTACCGATTCTCTTAGCTGTCTTAAAGCCCCTGCTAAAAGATCCATTCCATAGCAAACTCCATAGCCTCCCTTGATCTTAGAAATCAAAAAAAGCTCTCATTCAATTGCTCCCAATAGCTGACAAATTGGTCCATGTTGGTATGGGTTCCCAGCCATAGTTGGCATTATGGGCAATGAGTGTGCAGACTCGGTTAGCCAGAAGTGCTGCTACTTCTTCAATGGCAGACCAGAAACATATGGTACACCATCACTACGACCCTCCTAAGACTGCCTCAAAGAGAGTTGAGGTACATCCTGGCAGGCAGGAATGGAACAGCGTCCGCCACAACTTTAAAGGGCCCGGACTACTATTTTTCAAGTACAGCCACGCATTCCTCCGAAGCCTTGGTTTTTTAATTTTAAAAAGGTGTCCAAACAAGTTGTCCTCCACCATATGCTAGGCCTTCGTATTGGCCACTGCAGCCATCACCTGTCTTCTTGAATAAAATTCGGGTACGGGACTCGTCTCATATGCGAGTGTGGCTCTGGATGAAGGCAACCTGGACCACATCTTCTTTAATTGTAGTAAAAAATAATCCATCCTTAGACCTTTTATTCATACCTAACTAAATTGAAAATCCCCCCTCCCTATTAACTTTGCATCCCTACTACCTTTTCCTCCCCAAAACTTGTTACTAAGCCTATGATGTTTTTCATCCGCTGCAATGGCCATCAAACTTTGACCTGTGTACCTAATTTAATGTTGTGATGTTTATTTGCCTGTTTTGCTCTACTAATTATCTCTTCTATAGTACTACATACATACTTTATTTATTCGTATTTGTCTGCTTTGTTTCAGTGCTACTAACCACAATCAAAAGACCCATACTGCAGTCACACCTGCCTTAATTTTGGAAAACTTAATGGATTGCAAATTCGTTTTTCCCCTCTTTAGTATTTCATCTAATCCCCACGTATTTCCATCGCACTTGACATTGGCAGAATTGTCGACATCGGCACAGTTTGCCATATAATAAGAAGAAGAAGAATAGATTTTGAGAGATTTCTTTTAAATAAATACAGAATAATTTCATAAATGATATATTAGCAGTTAAATATAAAAATTAAGCATTTATATTATTATAATTTAATTCTGATTATACATTTGATTGGAAGCCATGGGAATGTTCTCGGTGCCTACCTCGGTTAATGAAATGCTTGCTGATAATCTTCAACATTATATTTTCTGGTAAGTTTATTTATTAAAATTACAAATAACGTAACGAAAATAAATATACAACGAATATTTAGTTGCCAAATCTGTAAACTGTACGATAAACGTTAAAGAAATACTTCATATAGCACTATATTTCGAACTCTTAAAAAACTATTGTGGCATTGTATGACGCCAGTCATTATTTTAGGTAAAAATATCAGTAATGTTGACTAATTTTGGCGAGTAAAACTAATAAGATTCAGAATCCACAAATTTACAACGATCTCCACGATTCTACGCGGATCGGATGTTTACGCGAAGTGACGAAATGTAAACAAACTGCGTGATACATCGCAGGGTGCGTTACGTGAAATCTAAGAGGGTTCGAGGGTCGGGTTCGTGTGTTGCAGTGCGTGGGCAGGGGGGGGGGGGGGTTGCGGTTTGCAGCGTGGGGCGTTTGTGGGACGGGGGCAGCGAGTCGGCGGCCCGGGGGCAGGGCGGGCCGCTGGGGGTGGGGCGGCGCGCTGGCGCTGGGCGCCCCTCGCCGCCCTGGCGGCCTCATGCGCGACTCGGCTGCAATGTTTGGCGGCCGCCTTCGCGCTGCTGGCCCCTTCACGGGAGTGCCGAAGCGGCGGCCGCTGTGTTCTGTGGTGGGGCGCCGCGCACCGGCCGCCAACTGGGAGCGGGCGCTACGCGACAGTCTGGAGCACACCGTGCTTCGCGAGTACGGTCTGGTGAACTCGCGCACGCAGCTGCTCGACGTCATACAGCAGGGGGTCAGTATCGACGCCACCGAAACTCAAAAATAACAGCGAAACGAACGCAACGATTCATCGGTCGGTTTTTTCAGCTGGAGTGCTGCGGCGCGGAGGGGCCCCGCGACTGGCAGCACTCGGCGTGGGCGCGCGCGCAGCGCGGCGAGGCCGAGGAGCCGGCCGCGGCACGCGCGCGCCGCCGCCCCCGCTTGGCCTGTCGGTGGGCGCGCCCGGGCCCCCTACTCACGTGCGGCGCGTGCTCGCGCGGCCGGGGGGGGCGTGCGAGGAGGCGCGGGCGTGGTGCGGGGGCGGGCGGCGGGGGGCGCGGGCTGCACGGCGCGGCGGGGGCCCGCGTGCTGGGGGCTGGGGCGCCTGGCGCGGCCCCGCGGCGCTGGGGGCGGGCTGCGGGTGGCGCACGCGCTGGCGCTGCCGTGGCGTGGCGCTGTGGCTCGCGCACCCCGCACCCCCCCTACAAACCCTAAGTTGGCGCGGGTTACCGAGGAGGGACGGGCTTCGTTGAGACTTTTTGGCCCCCTTAAAACTTTTCCCCGAATATTTGCATAAGCGAGTGACGGTGAACACGACCGTGCCGTCTCGGATAGTTAGGTGTTTCCGTGAGAATCTTGTTTTGGCTCTATTTGCGCTCCAAATAGAGCCAAAACTATATATAACTATAATTGTATTTTGGGAAAATAACTTTAAAATATTTTGCGAAGTGTCTTACCCGAGGGTTATTAAAAATTTACAGATCTCGCGCGCCTTTTTATTATAAACGTAGAGCTTTAAACCCAAAAGTGTGTTAGTGTATGATTTTTTCGTTATTCGTGCTCTATTTTAAAGAAACCGGTGAGATCATAAATCGACCGAAAATGGCACCCCTAAGTTTTGAAACGAACTTTAAAAAATAGCGTTCGAAATTGTTTTAAATGATGCATGGCTAAGATTCAGAAAACATCGTTCACTAAATAGAGCAGGTATTATACAAGATTCTTTAGTATGTACTTAAAATTTTTATACAATTCTAGGGAGTACTTGGTGGTATGCTTCGATGTGAAGCCCCCGTAAAGTAAAAATATATACACGATCTCTCTCTGCCGCCGAACAGCCCCCGTACGTACTTTATTTTGGAGACTATTTTATTTGTTTTTTAGTTTTAAAATTTCCAACTGATACCAAATATTTAGAGTCATTTGTTGTTTTTATTTTTCTTTAATATTTTAAACTATTTTCTTTTATTTTTTAAATATTTGCCAGAGTCATAATTTTAAATTTTTCGAGATTTTTTTAGAGTAAGAATTTTGTGCGTGTGCGTTTTGTGGTGGGCCGGTGTCCGCGGCTCGTATTATTGAAAACCAGTGTTTTCTTTTCTTATCATAGTGTTGATTTTTTAATTTTTTGTTCTCTAGTACTAGTCGCTTTATTTTTATTTTATCCCTTTGTAGGATATAAAATAACCCCAAAAAATATTAGAAACAGAAAATATAATAAAAAATGCTTATATTAATTTGAGCGTTACCCTAAACATCGTCTAGTCTTTAAATATGTTGGGATAACGTATTTTTTGTTTGGGTTAGACGTGCGACGCGTCAATCACACCAAAATCAGATCAAAGTTACTGCAACATTCTGTTATTGTCTTTTTTTTCTACTTAATGCGCATGTATGTAAACATAAAATATAGGCCGTATGTTCGTAAGCCGCCGCTCGTTTCAAACTACAGTAATACCCCCTATAACACGGTAGATTTGTTCCGCGTTGTAGGAGTATTCTCGTATAACGCGCTTGTACAAATATTCACGTTTAACTTTTCTCGTTAAAGAGGGTTTCAATCGAATTATGAACTAATGTACTAATGATGAACTCTACAAATCATTATAAATTTCACAGTACAGAAATATAACGTTTGAAATCCCCGGATATATAATATATGGGGGAATACCCGTGCTATACGAGGGATTGAAATCGCGTAATATGAAATGCGTTATAAGAGTACTGTGTTATAGGGGGGATTACTGTATTATTGTTCGGCTGCAATCTTCGTGTGTGCATGTCATTTACATGAGTAAATGTTTGAATACGCGAGCGGTTTAATTGTTGTGCAAGCGATATGTTTGTTCGACAATCTCACTTTGACTAGAAACACTGCCGTGTTGTGGTTGCCTTATATTTCTATATTTCTAAGTGTACATGTGAACATTAGATTTACCAAACATTAAAGTCTAATAGGTTTGGAAGGTTCGATCGCATGCAAGTGGCATCACTGGCCGGTGAGCGTGGCGACAGTGGCGCCCTCTCACCTAATACACCTTACAGATACCTGAATAAATGTAAACACTAATAAATGTCTTATTGTGAATATTGTGCTTTATTTCATGAACAGGGGTTTGTTGTGAATCGTTCAGTCGAAACTCCAAATCGATTATTGCATCTTGTCATCTACTATTTATTTATTTCCCATATACAGGTGTCCCTGAAAATGGTGCACTAGCTTTATTTATAAATATATAGTAATTGTTTTGGAAATTATTATTTTTTAAAGTATTTGTTTAAAAAATATGAACAGTTTTCACATAAGTATCGCTCGTTTCTCATAAAAACAGGTAAAATATGTAAAGTTTTGCATTTTAAATTAAAGTAGATTTTTAATTTTGGAATTATTTAATCCATTATTGGGAAAATCCTACAGACTAATTAAAAAAAATACATAGCACAACGTTTGATGTCAGTTTTTATGGCTTTTCTCAGTAATATATTGAATAATACTGAAATAAAAACACAATTATGTTTGATATAAAATATTTAACGGAACATGTTTCATCTGCTTTAATGAGAATCGGAGCTGCTAATATCAGAAAATTGAAACTGTCATCACAACTTTTTGAACGTCTTACGTCCTTAGGTGATTTTAAGTGTTCCATTTTTTGTAAATATGATATATTAAGTTCAGCTGCATACATAAAACAGGACTTAGCACAATAAAGTTAAATATATTTTAATCTAAAAGTTTTGTCTTAAACTAAGTCTTTAACTAATATGTACACACCATGATCAGCATAGGGGCCTGTTGATCTGTAGTAAAAATAATTATCATAGCAAAAAAATAAACTATCATCAAAACTAAAGGCGCAAAATTTATAGGTAAGTACTTCTTAAACATTTTGAAATAAAAGGTTGTGATTCATTTTATTTGCTGTACCTACACACTAATTTACAGTTCAAAATTAAAATCTGTAATTCTTAAAAATATATTTTTTTTTATTTATATGTTCAGTTTGGTTCAATTATACGGAAAGCATAAAATTAAAAGTAAAAAGAAACAATAAATAAATAATAAGTAACTGCCTATTTAATCAAATCGTGCAAACTTACGTTCTCTAGTCACAGAACGTCAGTTTCACCTGTCGAAATGCACTTCTTAATGTCATAAACTGATTTTCATAAATTGTTATTAACACAAAAGAAACCATGTAACATGGTCCTTACATAAGTATAAAGATAGCTTCGTTTTATACATAAAAACTCTGTTGGATTATTTACGACGATGTCCAGAACCTATTGAAAAAAATGTTTGTGGTACTTATGACATCCGCGGCGGCCACCTCGGGACCCCACGTCGGCGTAGCATGAGCATTTCGTGGAGCTGATATAATATAATGATAATGAACGTTGCCTAGTCCTTGCACCAGAGTAAAGTGCCAACAAAACAGAAGTCAAATGAAATTAAAGTTACCAGTTTCCACTCCCGGTTCCATTCCATAGCCACAACAGTGCTTAATAAATTTAGCCCAATCTGAGAAATACACACGCGATCCTCATCCTTGTTTGTATCCTGAGCTATATTTGTGGTATTACAACATACAATATATGGGGAACACATTACATAATTCTTAAGAAAGAGACTAAGTGAGTAAGTCACAAGTATTACTATTTTATAAACGATTAACGATGTTTCGTAAAATCGTAAATTCATTGTAATCTGAATCGATTATACTGACGTTCACTTTGATTTTTTTAAAGAACTCCCTCCTCCTCCCGCACTAGGTGTATATCCTGTGTCGCGGGGGACTTTACAAGCATACATGAAAGGAACCCAAATAACACCCAGACTCAGAACGACAATTTATGGATAACACATAGTGTTTTGTAAGTTTTTGTAAGTCTTATAATAACTTTTTAAGTTCACATTATTTTTTGTATAATGTTATTGCACTTTTGTTGCTCCATGCTGTGCCTATGACCCTGATGCCTATAACCCGCCAAGGATGTAAATTGCTGCATGTTTAATTGGTTAAATGTGATATTTTAAGGTAAACATTTAAATAAAATTTAAGTCTTGTAATAGTATAGTCTTATTATATCTTGTCAGCAAGGCCGTCTTAGGCCATGTCGAAGCTCCTAGGCACACAACAATTTGGGGCTCTGTTGGACACTAAAACAAAATGAATAGACAGATATAAATACACTCATCAAAAAAGTCTAAGCAACATGTACGGTTTTGAACGATTTTTACTAATGCAATATATTTATATTTATTTTATAAATAATAACTAAGCATTCATTGATGCATCAGTGACTAAAGCAATAAAATACTTTATTCAATCGTCCATTTAATCACTAAAATTAACAATATGTGCACCGTAACATACGTAGTATAAAATAAAGTTAAAACGAAATAAAAACGACATCGAAACGACATTTTATTTCAAACGTGTCGGCAACAATATTTCATTGAAATTATAAGATTGTTTATCTGATCCTGCAGCAATTGCTCCCAATGCAATTTTAACGAGTCTTTCAGTTGTTGGGTTGTCGACGCTCCGTCCAGGTTCTCTAGAACACGCACAGAACAGAGAAGCACAGAACAGCAAAGTCATTGCTCACGGTTGCCACAAAGTCGCTAACCTAAGCATTTACATATAATTTTTTTGTCGGATTATATCGATCTAAAGTAGATATTTAAAAAAAATTGTAATCGAATATATCGTTCTATGTATTCGCTTCTCGGGGCCCCGGTGACGATGGGGACCCTGGGCACGGGCCCCGTGTGGCCTTATGGTAAAGACGGTACTGCTTGTCAGTCAATCAAGAATTCATAATACAAGCTGTGTCTAGTTTGAAACTAGATGGCATTGTCTGTTAGATGTCCGATATATTATTCTCATTATCAAATATTTTTTATGCACCGTATAATTGTTTCCTAAAATTTATCCAGGGACACACGTGTCTTATACGTCTATGTGGCAATTGCTAAGTGCTCTCACTCACAACAACAAATAAAAAAGTAGGTCAGAATCAATATAAACTCGTTAACAGACAAATAGTCGATGGCACGCCGCGACATTCGGCCACTCCACATGCCGTGTACATTCATTCCTTTGTCAAATTAAGATAGATGTGGAAAGAATTTGAAGGCACAATCCGTAACCATACAGATACTTATATGAAATCGTTAAAATTTTTCAGTTATTTCTTAGTTTAGATAATAGAAATACCTACTAGAAAAAACACATGATTATTAACAAAATGGAGTAAGGTCTAAGTTTTTTGTCTTAACGAATAACATTTATATGAAAAATGTGTCAATAATATAGTTATATGTATGCAGTGGTAAATTTTACTCAGGAGTCACTCACAATTTTTGACGAATAACCGGTTCCGAGAATAGACAGAACGGAAGGTTCTAAGAGACAACCCTTCTATATAATCTATAGTATACTTGGACACGTTAGTTTCAGCTCACCAAATCCTAAGTACAGCTCCTGCCTAGTTGGGAGCAGACGATTTAGTAAAGGGTGCTATTGTTTTCAGTTCGTCTTTATTACAATTGTTGTGTTCGCCAGCGTTATTAAATGCCTACCTTACAAGATTTCTACATCACCCAAAGGTTAACTCGAAGTGAATGCCCTGGGCATTTTTAAGTCCGCCGATGTACAAAAGTGCAAAAAGTTTCATTTTTTTTTTTGTATAATTTAGGAGTATAGATAGGTTTGTTATACTTTTCTTTCGAGCGTTCCCACAAAGATAAAAAAAAAGACAAAACAAATATCGAGAAAATATTTAGTTTCAAAAGTGAGAGAATCCCCCCTTGCCAAATGCTTGCCAGCGCTAGAAGGGCGCTTGATAGTTAACTGATAATTTAGGAAGCTCTGTACCCACAATACACGTTGCACCAAAATGATGTGCATTATACGTTTTTTGGCTGATTGAGGCGGAGCTTCAAACTCAACTCACTACACTACTGTCATCGCACTGTTAGACATTAGTTAGTGCAATGGCAGGTTGATGTTTGTCGCGGTGACATTCAATAAAATACACTTGAAATAGTTCAGCAGATACAATGTTATTCTTATATAGGGATAAAAACAGTTAACTATTAAATCTACAACTATATGCTAATGATAATAACGTAGACCAACCAAATAAACGATCGTAAGATATAATGTCGATTAACTTCGCTTCGTTGAGGATTTGTTCAGCATTCTTTTTTAGGGTTCCGTACCCAAAGGGTAAAACGGGACCCTATTACTAAGACGCCGCAGTCCATCCGTCTGCCTGTCTATCTGTGCGTCTGTCACCAGGCTGTATCTCGTGAATCGTAACAGTTAGACTGTTATTTTTTTTTTACAGATGATGTATTTCTGTTGCCGCTATAACAACAAATACAAAAAAAGGCTAAAATAAATATTTAACCTCCTATTCAAAAAACCTTATTTTTTTGATCGTTTTTCCTCGATATTGATAACGGCAACAGGTAGACGCTTGAAACATTCACAAAAACACATTTAGTTATATATTCAAATCCTGACCAGTAAACTACCGACGTGAACCCACTCCTAACACAAGCAATTCAGCTTAGCGGGAAGGGTTAACGGGAATACTAGTAATTTTGGATGCTAGTAGATCTCTATCTATCTATTCACTTTAAAAATAAATAATTAAATTGACTGCACGGATGGCGTAGTGGTTTAAGTGGTCGCCACGCCGCTTCCTACTACGCCGTGTATTGTGGGTTCAAACCCCACATGGGACGGAATTTGTGTAATCCACAAATTGTTGTTCTGAGTCTGGGTGTTATTTATGTCCGTTTCATGTATGTTTGTAAAGTCCCCCGCAACACAGGAATATATTCATAATGCGGGCGTTGTCTTTGAAAAAAAAACCAAATATTTAAGGGGGGACTCCAATACCACAAACGTGATTTTTTTTTGCCTGTTTTTCATAGATAATGGTACGGAACCCTTCGTGCGCGAGTCCGACTCGCACTGACCTTGACCGGTTTTTATTCCTCTGCATGTCAACAAACAGTCTATATATCTATATGATATAGCAAAATGTATCCTAAGTTGTGATTAATTGTTCAATTAACAATTAAAGAAGAAACCAAAAAGTTAATGGACGAGCCAAAATCCAAACCTAAAAAATGACAAAAAAAATCACTTCTAAAAGCATGTATACTTAATTCCACAGTTTTTCGATTTAGAATATTTATCAATATTGGCAGTTGGGTAGATAGAGATTAGACGACAATTTGATGTACTCGACAAATTTTCGTCTAACGTCGATATGTTGAGCAACCGAATCAGTGCAACGTATAGAAAGCTATGTCACCACATCGTATCAGAAACAACTCCACATCACTCTTCATTACTTACTTATAATCATGATTCAACGTTAAGAATACGTCGGGTGAAGAATACACAAGTCCGTCCTTTCAAAGTCCACAATTACCTTCATACGTAGTTACCAATAATGAACAATTCAGATGCTCGTATCGGAATCGAAAGGAAGCGGTCGTTGGTGCTCAGCCCACTCGTCGACGTCACGTAATTGTCCTTCATTGCTATCTTAAGAGTTGGTAATTGACGGCACTCCACAGACTCATAGAGGCTCGTGTGTCGGGCCGCCGGGTGACGTGTGACGTGCCCTCTCTGACCGATTAAGTGACTGCCATCGCAAACGATTACCTATTGAAACCAATCAATGGACGAAACGGAACATGATCTGTAGATAAAAAGTTACGCAATGCATGAAGCTTCCAGTTTAAAGAACACATAAAAGATGTTTATTTATTTATCTTATAATATATAATTATATTTAACGGTTCCTATAAACAGTGTAGGTATACTTATCCTACACTGTTCATAGGAACCGTTAAATATAATTGTAATATATATCCGCGTGGTGACGGATTAAGAATACAGAGGGTCACCACCCCTATTCATCCCGTGCCTAGGGTGTCGTGAGAGCCCACTAAGGCCCGGTTTCCATCAAAGCAGAGAGGAGACGAGACGAGAGGAGATGAAGATGGATAAGAGAGTAAACAACGGCACTGCCACGAAAAAGAACACTTGAAACAAACCCCATACCAACCCGTCTGGCCAGCGTGGCATGGTAGGCCAAAACCTCCTTCCTAAGGAGAGGCCTATGTCCAGCAGTGGACTAGTAAAGGCTGTTGACGGTGATGAAAAATATAATTTTATTTTATGTTGTACAAATAAAATATAATTCATAATGATATCAAATTAAGTTTAATCTCTGAGTGGATGTAAATAAATGACTTTTCTGTTTTTTTTCTGTTTAAAGTATTATTAGGTATACACAAACACGATAGCATGCCGTGCGTACACCATGAGAAGTTTCGTAACTTTAAGCAAACGCTTTTGATTGGCCTTCGCTGGTATGTCGCTAACCTAACATTGTTATCAAAGAAGACTAACTAACTTCTTTCATGTCTTACGTACATTTATCTATTCATTATTGAAATGAAACTTCCAATCATAACTTTTTATTTTCAAGTTTCGTCTTATGTTTCGCCACGCACCTGGCATTTGAAAACATTAGATGAAACTCCGATGACACGTCACTTTCGTTTCACACACACGAAAACAAATGTACCAGCTATAATAAAATGTTGTCTTACTCCGTTGGATCGAATAGGTACGTTGTTTAGGAAAATAATGCATATGCGTACTTAAGTACGCAAATATTTTTTATTGCTGAATTAAATTATATTTTTTCTCAAATAAGCATTTTTATCTTTTATGTAAACATTTTCGTAATTGTGATTTTTATGCATTAACTATTTATTACTGTTCAAATAAAACCCCGTTAGGTTAGACATTGTGTTTGGCGGTGCTGCGTGTTAGTGGCTGGCACACCTGCCGCCCCGCATGAGCACCGTGAAAGACAACATCTTTTGTTATCATTACCATCATCGCCGTAATCTTGTGTTTCCTCGTGTTATTCCGTGAGCTAACATATGACATACCATTTTTCACTACTAATGTACAATTATTGTTTGTTTTAAGACCACAAAATATCTTTTCCATATTTTTAAAACACAATTATGAAAATATGAAAATAAGAAGAGTTGTTTCAAAACTACCCTCTAATATTTAATAAATATATTTTTAAGCTACATTCATAGTTGAGAGAGAACAACGCCATGAAGTAGGTAATGTATGAAAGGCAATTGAGGTCAAAGGGCAAATACTTGAATATTAATATCTTTGTTAAATACTCTAACCCAAGACACCAGTATTCATCACCTTATAATAATATTACGCTATACGATTAGCTTTTCCGAAAGAAGGAAAGACGTCGGACCGGCAGGCTTGCTACCCGGTTAGTTTTGACAGACTCAACCGGGTTTGATGAAATAAAAACTTTGAAACTAGATTAACTAGTTTTAATTTATGCGAGCGTAATATAGTAGTAGAAACTTTCGTCGTTGTTTAGCTTGCGTGGCTTCATCTAAACCAGGGATTTCCAAACTATTTTAGGCAAGAGACCCCTTTTCTAAATTAAACTAATAGCTCAGACCCCCGTAACTAAAATACTGCACGCTTATTGACTTGTTGAGTTTTTTTAAAGTACAGTTACAGTACAGTACAGTTTTTAAAAGTACAACAGTATAGTAGTGCAGTAGTACAAAGTACAATGGTACTTCCTACTAAAATATTAGTCATTCTTATAACAAGTCGGTACACGTAACACAACTGATACAATTTCTTGAACTTTGAAATAAGAACTTGTGTTATTTAATGCGGGTCGATTTTTTACCTCGTTGACCCCCAAAATCAGTTTTCGCTTATGTAGACCCCGAAGGAAACCGAATTCGACGCCAACGGGTCGATATCGACCTCTCTGGCAATCCCTGATCTAAACTTTGTGTGAAAGATGTTGTGTGGCGGGCGATAGAGCTTGCGACTACTTCTGCTGTGCAGACGCAAGCGGCAGATCCACAGCTGGACCTAAAGAATTTTTCAGTTATAGGTATGCCAATAAACCCTTAGTAAGCTATAACTTAGCAAGTTTTTATTGACATATTATTTTTCTTATAAATTTCTATAAATCCTAGTATGTAAAACAAGTGGCCCAGGAGTTAGAAACAAGTAAAAAAAAACCATTTCAGAACCTCGTGGTTGGATTTTGCTCATGTTCTAAAGTAGGGATTTCCAAGCTATTTTGGGCAAGAGACCTTTTTTCTAAAATGAACTGATGCCTGCTTATCTACTTGGTTCTTTTTTTTTCAAACACTGGGAATCCTCCTATAGTATTAGAATCCTAGAATACTAACTTATGCTAATTTTGTAGATTTGAATAGACATAGTCTTATGAAAAATACGGATTATGAAAAAATAAAAAATGAGGACAATACCATGCATTTCTGGAATGTAAGCGAGTAGCGAGGAGGTCGAGGTCCTGTTCGGTTCGGGTGCGGCCTGCACCCGCGCGCCCGGCCACACGGCGCCCGGGCGCGGCGGCCCGATCGGCTCCGCGCGCCACTCGCAGCCCAGAGCCGTCAGTGCCTTACGAAGCGCGTCCGCGAGCACGCGTGTTCCGCGCGTCGCCCCTCGACCGTGGCCCGTCATGTAGTGTAGTGCCGATCGAGCTTTAGGATACGTCGACTCGACTGCAACTCGACCAACACTTCAAGCTTGCGTGACGCTTCGCTGACCGACGGCTACCTTCTGTCATATACTTCGACTCGATACCCCGCTGCAACATGGGCTGCGCCAGGGGACTCTGCACCGCTGAGAAGATATTCATCTTTATCAACATCGCCTTTGCGGTCAGTATTCTATAATATTTTTTAAAATAAAAGTACGAACAGGTGTAGGTCCTATTTCAAAGATACGGGCAGTTATCATGTGACAATGAAACATTTTGAAGATGAGACAATGAGCTCGTTTCTAAATCTAACTTGCAAAAAAATGCACTTGTTCCAAAATAAAATTTATAAACAAAAGCGCGTTAAGGGCGCCATGCAGCTGGCTGTTTACTTCACTAGCCACCTACGTAACACTGCTACTGTTAAATAATAATATCCTTACAAGGGACAGGGCCGGTTATGATGCACGAACGCGGTGTCCATCTCCTATGACAGTAAAGAATGCGCTTTGTAAACAATGCGAGCCGCCCCTCGCTCGTTTCATCTCGCCACTACAGACAACCTTTTGAGACCAAACTTTGAACAATTAAGCTTATCAATAAACGAGGGGTTTCTAAACTAAACATTTACCTGCAGCAGTTGATACCGAATTTGTATTCAATGGACATGCATTCTGCGAGTAAGTTTCACATAGTTAACTTAATATTCAGTAATTGTACAAAATGATAGTGGCGTTTATAGTAATGATAGATATTAATGATTCTATTCATAATAGCTTTGTATGTTATTGTTAAAAGCTTGTGTTGAAATTGAATCACAGGACTAATTAATTCATTATGACAACAAATATGCTTCACAATTCTCGTCTGTAGTAACGAGGTAACTACTTCACAAACGGAGAAGGTTCACAACGAAGTTGGATATTTGTAAATGTTTATTCCCTCAAAACTACGTCAGTTATAAATTGATTTGGAAAATTCGTTTCTTAGTTTCTTTTCGGTTCTACCTACCTAAATTTAAAGAAAAAGCAATCCCCAAGGGGGAGATTTAGGAATGAAGCAGTTTATTTTTGTGCGAGTATATTGTGGTCAGTGATAATTTGTTTTTAACTCAATTAGTGAGAAGTATAACAGATGAAATTGAACAATAGGAGAATAATAAATATTCGCAAAAAAATAAAAATAAAACACGAACGGGTTAAGGTTTTGTAAAAACCCTGTCGGATTTGTATGAGCCATTGGTTTTTTCTTAGATAACTCACGTCAAGGAGTTCTACGGACTCTTGCAAGTTTATATGCAAGCTCTTTAAATTGGGAGGGTGATAGTTTATTGTTAGTGTGTCACAAATTAGCTATCAATCTGCAAATAAAATAAAAATAATCTTTAAATTTACTTTAGAACAGTGAAATGTGTTTTGTTAATATTTATTTTACGCATACGACGAGTGACAGCTAGTAAGCAATAAAATAAAGCATTTGAAAATAAAACCAAACAACCAATAGAAAAAATAACACGATATCGTTGTTGGTGGCCTCTCTGATACCAGGCCACTCTGAAAGCTTCGTGTATCTGAAAAGCTGTTCACATTAGTGTAGGAACACTGGAGATATTATTTCATTTTAAAAATATTTTAAAATAACATAATTTTCGAAAATAAATACAAAGATTGTCAATATCGTCAAATATCCCTTTATTTGGACATGTAATTTCCGCGCTTCTCGACAAAATATTCGCTCGATGATACTTTACCGTTTCGCATGTAGCCTAACCGAGAAATTATTTGATTGACTTCAATGAATTGTGTCAGGAATGAACAATTTCTTTATAGAGAATTGGCGAATCACGTATTTACAAAGAGTTAGTATATACCTATTGAACATTGGTTCAGACCTCACCAATTACGATTTACGGAACAAGGATTACGAGGAACAAGGGGGTGAGGGAAAGTTATGGAGTTATGGCCCAGGGTAGGTATGGAATGTCAATCATTGACTCCCTGTCTCTCTGTGTTAACAGCTACATCCGCTCCTGATTTAGGAGTTCAGATAGAGCTTACTTTTTTAATGTGGCACGTTAGGTGACAAATCTTGGATTTACTAAAGTGAAGCTATTGTAAATCCTACTACATATTTTACGTCATGTACTAGAATTGTGAAATAAAGCGAGGTGTTATAAAAAAGAGTGTAAATGAGCAAGATGCTTAAACGTGAACGATGGTTATCTGTAGTGGAACTCGAGAACACCCACTCACCAAATGCCGTGGAGCTAAGGGCTCGCGACCCCCAACGCAATGCTTAGCGCTTCCATCCACATGTCTGCAAACTATATCGTAACGTGCGCTTCTGCGTACGTCTTCATATTAATGTTATTTACACAATTAGTTTTGCTATCTTTATTTTTAAAGACAATTCCTGCATTAGGAATGTATTCTCGGTCGCGGGGGACTTTACAAACATACATGAGACGGACACAAAGAACACCTGGACTCAGAACAAAAAATTGTAGATCACACTAAGTGTCGTCCCATGTGGGGATAGAACCCACAACAGTCAGCGTAGTAGGAAGCGGCGTGGCGATCACTTAAACCACTACGCCATCGGTGAAGTAAAATCTCTCATAGATATTAAGAATCGACTTTAACAGCAGTAACGACATCAAACCTGCATACTACCGATTCCCTCCGTTTGATGACTGGAATTGGAGAACAGCCTCTTGACTCTTGAGCCGTGTAGTCGGTTAGTGGTAGAGATGGTCGTTTTTGTAAAAACGTTTTTAAGCATCGATGCCAGTGCGCGATCCCGGCATCCGATGCCGATATATTGAAAAACGGATGCCCGCAACATCCGATGCGAACTTCACCGAATGCGAGCGAGCGAGAGGCGCCAGATGACTACGAAACGGATAACGCGGCGATGACAAGTCGAAGCATCGATTTGATGATAGATGCGGTTGTACTTGGAAGACGAAATTTTCCCCCGGCAAAACGTTGACGGGGAGTGGAGCGATCCAATGAATGGTGGCTCCGTCATTCCAAAATATACCCGACGTTGGCAGAAATATACCGTTCGAGGTGTAATATTGTGATAATATTGTTTCTGTGTTTCTGTGCCATGCGAACGGATATTCTCCAAAGCGGGTATATTTTGAATGAACGAAGAACTCATCTTTCAAGTTCCAAATTAGAACAATTGGTTTTTCTTAATGTCAACTCTAATTTTGTTAAAAGTAAAGACTAATATTACTTACCTTATTTATATTATGTTGAATATCGTATCTAAATAATTTACAAAGTTATAAAATAGGTATCAAATGATTTCAATAAGGCAACGTTACCGAGTAACTATCTAATATTCATACGCAGACACTTTAGCCGGCAACTAATTTTGCCTAATCGGAAATCGCATAATCAAATCGATGCCAGAAAAAACGATGCCGGCATCGGATGCGGTTCACAAATTAACGATGCGCATCGATGACAAAATTTAACGAAAACGCCCATCTCTAGTTAGTGGTTAGGGATCTTTTTAGCTTAGTATAGAGGGTAATTTTGCGACTCATCAGAAATTGTCCGCTGCGTGTGTGTGGCGTGTTTACAAAACGGATCATATTTATTCGCACAAACATAATTCGTCTTCATGGATTGTTTTACGTAGAGTGCGCTCAGGTGCTTCATTTCAGCGACCTCATTTTAAATTGACGTTGTCACCGGGGTAACTAACGACTTTAAGCCGTCTCGAGGCATTCTATCTGTAAAATATTTTGAACGTAAAGTAAAGAGTAGTAAGGAAAATCAATTGGGGTCCAGGGCAAGTCTGACACCGTAGTAGTAGCTACGATAAGGTGTATCGCCGGGTATCGAACTTGTGCGATGCATAATGTTTCAGCTCTTTGAGTAGGACAACGTGTAATAGTGCAAAACTAAATCCACCATGATTAAGTTGAATGTACATATATTATGTTCGATAATGAGCGCGCCGGTTAAGGAGGGTAATCGATGTCGTCCAATACGATTTTATTCAATTTAAGTGATAATTGCATCGCCCTCCGCGGCGCATGCGTTTGATGGGAGATTTTAGAGAGACCCTCACATGAAGTGAAATGCTTAATTTTATTTTTATTTATTCTGAGAAGGTGAACGTGTTTCTTGCAGTTCTTAAGACCGCACAGGCACTGAGTCCCTATGTTTAATTTCCATATTTCATATAGGTAATTTATTTATTTATTTTAAACTTAATGCACATATTGTACAAAGGCGGACTTAATGCCATTAGGCATTCTCTCCCAGTCTCGTATAATCGTCTCATTAATAAAATGATTAAAACTGACCTCATCACTCAGTAAGTTAGCGTTGAGTTTTTAAAGCCCCTCGGCGAGGGCTGCGGCTGCGAGCCAGCTTTGTTCCACTTTACAACCATCCATTATATACGAAGGACGCTCCGGCGGTTCATCATTTTAACTCTGTCCTTGGGGATATAGATAACTTACGTTTATATCACATAAGCATAACATCTTTTACGCTACATCATTACTAGGTCATCATTATTAATCTACCCGCAGCAAATGAAGATGATGACGAAAGGGGCTCGGGAAGTAAATTTAGTAATGAATTCTAAACGCGAAGCAATAAAAGCACTAGACACTTTGAACAGTCATTTTAAAATGCCAACAATTGGTGACCAAAACATTTGCACAGACTTCTAACAATACTAACAAAGAGCACTAAAAGCCTACAGCCATCGCAGTTCATTTGCTGTCATGTTTTGAAGAGTTCCGTCTGAAACTCACCATAAGATCTATATGAAATTTAAATGGAACCATTTCGGATAAACCCCTGTCGCACAAAAAAATATTTTGATAATCCGTCCATATATGACGGAGTTATGCCCGAACATACATAATAAAAAATATATATAAACATACAAATTGATAACCTCCTCCTTTTTGAAGTCGCTTAAAAATTTATAATACCTAAAGAAAAATATCTAATGGCTGATACTTCCAAAAGACAGACTAAAATGACAGATTTTTATAATTGAATCTTTCTGTATGCATTTTCGTACAGTTTATAAAAAACGAGCTAAATTATTTTTGTTTATTACCGGTTTTTAATTTCATTTTGATAATGACTAATAAGGATTACAACTTATGTGTGTATAATGTTTACATAATACATTATTTTA